TGACATCTCATATTGGTGGGTTGGACTTGGCACACAAATATTTTGATATTTGCGAGATTAACTTAGGTCATTGTCAAAATGTGAGGTAAATTATCTTCAGGGTCGCATAGTGATGTGATTGACAATGATCTACCTTTAGACGTATGTAATCGGACTAGATTAATGGCAGGTTAAATTTGCGTGGATCTAAAACCCATTAAAGAAACTCGTTTGTCTGCTAGAGGGTAGTGGAATTCGATAAAATTAGTGCGATAACAATTAAATGAAGAAAGTTCATATATTCAATTAAAATCATTAATTGTGAATTTTATCTCTAATCAGTGTCTTGTTAAAACTTTTTCTCAGTAATTATGTCTAAGAATCATGTAACTTTGTTCCTCGACCAAAATAATAAATTCACTGGCACCAACTATCTGAATTGAATCCGTAATTTGAAACGTGTGCTCACAGTTGAAGACTGTTGATTAAAAACTATGAGAATACACAGGACATCCATGACTATTCAACCAACCGAATCCCCTACTACAATGCACAAACTTCACACTAGATTTCAAACTGCATGAACATTGTCCCTTAGAGCGGTCCTAGGTGGTACCCAAGGACAATTCACTATATAGTTGGTCCTATCGTGAAGTCACAGTGATGTCTTGGTCTTAAGGATTAATGGTGTACAACTATATCATAGAAATCTCTACTCGATTATTAGGAACCACTTAGAGATTTCTAGGATGAGGGAGTTCAGTGAACTCATCAATATGAGCACCCACTTATGTAGGACGATATCACAATATCATTTACTGATGAGACGTAGTACACATACACTAATTGCTACTCTCAATTATATTGAGAAATGCCGGTATCCTCATTAATGGCGCAACCCATTGACGAGGAACTAGATTTAACAGTTATATTACTTAATTAAATATCTCATGATTCAACTAGATCAATTAATAGTAATTAGAATAACTGTAAGGACTATATGTATGCACATGCAAGGCACAAAGATATAGAATGCCAAAATTAGATTTTATCACTAATATGAAATAAATTATGTATTACAACAATAAAGGAAAGACCACAACTACAAGTTGACTTGTTGGTCACCTAAAACATAATAAATCCTAAAATAAAAACTTGCATAACTAAATTAAATAATTTGAGCTACAAGTCGACTTCCCGAACACCCTTCTAAACTCGTGTAAACATTTGCTTGATTGTGCACGTGCAGAAATTTGAAACTTGATTTCAACACTGTTACACTTTGAATATATCCCCGCTCAAAACATGAAAGTTGTAGATCTTTCAGTTGAATTTGCTCAGCAATTTGAATCACCTTCTGCCAGAGATACGCGAGAATCTCGGATGCATAGAATTCGGCTTGTTCAACGATTTCTTCTCTTTCTTTTCATCAAATCCCAGACCATGGACTCTTCAAAGGTCTGATTCGAACCTTTATTCTTTAAGGCCAACTCGAGTAACGTTTTTAAACTCATAAGCTTTCGCTTCTTCCAATTCTTGATATTGGAGTTTTGTCAGGATCGTATCATATGCACATATGATTTAAATATTGTTATATAATTTTGAAATATATATATATATATATATATATATATATATATATATATATATACATATATATATGTGTGTGTGTGTGTGTGTGTGTGTGTGTGCTTGTTCGACCGAAAGCGATTAAGGTCGCAATTTAATGAATATGCGCATATGATTATCACATAAACTGGTATTATGTGAAAACGAAAATTTGTTTTCGCTGGGTATACGTGCATCGATTTCCAACAGTGGTATCAGAGCCACAGTTATTAATTAATTGCTTATGTCTATAATCTCTTTCCAAAGCATGATTTAATTTGTTGAATTGATTGATTTTGGTGTTGTTTTAATTGGGTGTTTTAATTTTAATTAAACTTTTGGAATTGGATTTGATCTAATTGGAAATCAGAAATTTAATGCTTGAAATTTTTAGAATTAGTTTAAAACTATTTTTGTTGTTGTCTCGGGTTGTCTTAAACAATGAAAAATGATAATTTTTATGTTTGTGCGGTATTGATTTTTATTTAGGGTATTAATCATTACATATTCATGACTTATTTTTTATTTTGGTGGTATTGAAGAGAGAAAGAATCGATATTTCTTTTATCCGCCTGTTTCGCGAGTCATGGTCGTATTTTTTTACACATAGAGGCCAGGCGGCACCTTGATTGTCTTGATTTCGATTGAGAATGTCAATAACCCTAATTTGTACTATATTCTTATGGCACATTTTCTTTTTTGGATTCTTTTTATTTATTTCAACTGTGTTTTATGTGTACAAATGTCTAATTGATCTAGGATGAAAAGAAAGTAATGAATTTGAGGTTGGGGTTCATACCATATTGCCAAATTGCTGTGATAATAAAGAAAAGGGGCTCATAAAAGGATGATGAAGAAGATGATGTGCAAGTATATGATTGGTGGGAAAATAAAGGGATAATTGACTACAACACCCTCATTTGGAACTTATATAGATGGATCCATTTTGTTAGTTTCCCTTGACTAAAATTTTAATATAAATTAAATTAAATTGTTACTCTACTCACATATTTACACTTAATTAATATTTATATTTAAGATAATTAATTCTGGAAAATGTAAACAGAATCCAAGATTGCACTCTATCTCTCTTCCAATTCTCCTATCTCTCACCCTCTCTCTTCTCTAGCTTCCCACTATCTCTCATCCCCCCCACGTCTCTCTCTCTCTTTTACTCTTTTTTTTTTGTCTTTTTTCTTTCTTTTCATTTTTCTCTTTTAGCCTCACGGCTCTGTCCCCGTAAATTGTATCAACAAAATACTAGTTGTAATAGCGAAATGCAAAATACAATTTAGCAACATACAAACTGCAATTTGTTCAATAAAAATAAATAGCAAAATAAATTGAATGTGGAACCACCTAGCATATGTCGAAAATGTTTTTTTTACAAATTAAATGTCTTTCCACAACAACAAAATATGGAACTAATGATAATTTGCTCAAACATCAGTACTCCAAGTTTATTTTTCCTCGAACAATATAAAATAAGTTTAAAAGATAAAATACAAAATAAAATATGATATAACAAACCAACAAACTAATTTTTATTTAGGAATAAATAAGTACATTAAACACAAAATATTGTAACACAAAAAGTTTGCACACGATGTCACCCAATAAAAACCATGTACATCAATTGCATATAATAACATGAAAGGTGTATCTGGAAACAACAAGTGTAAATTGTAATAGCAAGTGCAAATTGTAATTTCAAACAGCAATATACATTTTCAAAATCACAACATAGCTAACAATACAATAGCAGGTTTACAAAATTGATATGCCACCAAAGTGTAATGAAATATACAATATACAATACAACAGCAAGTGCCAAATATACAACAAACAGCAAAATGAAAAACCAACAAAAAAAGACTTTGTAGAAAAAAAAAATTATTACCTGGGATCGTAGACTCCAAATCTCTATCTTTCACTTCATTCATAAAAAAACGCATTGCATTATGCCAATGAATTCTCGGTTATGTTTTCTTTTGTGGCGGTTTGCAGACCTATAGAATCTCCATCGATCTCAGCAATAAGGGGCTAAGGTTACAGAGTTAGGGTTGAACGAAATGGGGGAGAGGTTTTGCATGTTTCAATTTCACGAGATTAGATTTTTCCCTTTTATGGTGATTTGCAAAAGGGATGTGATAAATGTCGTTCGAGCTTTAATAATACCGTTACGACTTCAAACGTGATTTTGATCATTTTTAATTCCAAATTTTGCAAAACCCGAAAAATAGAATTTGTAGTATTCTGAGTTAGTTTTCTAATCGAGCTTGAATCAACAAAATTGGATGTCGGACGAGAAAGATATACATGAATCAATGGATATTGCCCACAACTTTGATGTATTGAGGTATCTAAAATTCAAAATGTGACTCATTCATGCATAATTTTGCTACACGGCATCCAATCTAGCAGATCTAAATTGAATTAGAAAGCTAACCCAAAGGACTACAGTTTTCGTGGTTCGAATTTTGCCAAAATCAAAATAGAAATATGTCAAAATCAGGTTCGAAGTCAAAACGACATTAGTCAAATTGAAACGACATTTAACATTTCATTTTGCAAAATTACAAACTTTCCATCGATATGAGAATTAAGGGGATAGTGTAACAACGTTTGCGTTAAAAGAAACGAGGGAGAGGTTTTGCAGTTTCAATCTCACAATTTGAGATTTTTCGCCTCAATTTGAGCTAAAACCTGATTTGGTGGATAATTATATTTAGGAATGAAATTTTCTATATTTTGTTGCAAAGGGCAAATCAACCAAAAATATTAATAGAGGGTTATAGCAAAATAAGACTTATGACTTGGATTAGGACATATATAATCTTAGAATGGAGGACCTACCGAAAATTACCCCAAAAACAAAACAAGTTGATTTTGGCAATTTTGCCGCTTCAAAATCTGCAAAATCATTTGCGGGTGACACACTTGCATTCAGGTGATGTTTTTGCAAAAAATGGCAAGTTTGGTGAGCGGTGCTCCAAATAATGGAGTTTGGGGACACCGTGCAATTGTACTTTGATTGGTGCAGTTGTTTTTAGATTGGGGGTAGAGTGCAAAACACGTCAAAGTTCAAGGGGAAAAATGCCGTGAACCCTTACTAATATACAATAATTCCATCATTGGCCACTGTTACAGATACAAAGAAATTAGTGATAAAGCACATCACAAAAAAATTAGGAAAAATTAGCAAAAACCCCCTCATCTAGGAAATATAGTTAAGTAAAACCCCTCTTTCAAAAATAATTGGAGAAAACCCCATTAGCTATTATTCCACCAAATGCTATTTTCATAATTCCAAATCTAACCTTAATTATCAATGTACTATTTTGAAACCCTAATCTCTCTCTCATTTTTCCTCACGCTCCATTGACCCCACTAATCCCTCTCTCTCTCTCTCTCTCTCCCCCAAATTCACCATCTCCGCTCCCCACCACCACCACTACCTCTCCCCCGCCGTCCACCGCTACCTCCGCCAGATCCTCACCGACCACCACCATCCCCTCGTCTTTCCACCACTCAACCTCACTTCGTCTTCGCCGCTCAAAAACCTCACAATCACAGTCGCCGACACCATCGCCGCGCCCGCACACGATGCCAACGAGCCGTACACGCTCGACATCCCCTCCACCGGCGCCGCCGCCGTTCTGACCGCAGAAACCCCATGGGGAGCGATGCGGGGACTGGAGACGTTCTCGCAGCTGGTGTGCTTGAAGTCGTCGGTGGTGGCCTGCGGGATGCACATTTCCAAAGCGCCGTTGTTCGCCCACCGTGGAGTATTGCTGGACACCTCGAGAAATTACTTCGAATTGGACGATTTGTTGCGTCTGATTAAGGCAATCAGCATGCACACGCCTTGTGGTGGTGGTCTCCTCCGCCGCCGCCGCCGCCGCCAAGGAGTGTTTCACCAAGAACAGGTAATTCATAAACAAATCTGGATACATGCTCTCCTTTCTTTCTTCCTTACTGTCATTATCGAATTTAAATTTTCAGCCAAGGGGAAAAGAAAATTCCCACCTAGTCCGGCGGTGTGGTGATGATGCGGAGGCTGATTTAGGATTTTTTGGTGGATCGGGCAGAGGACGGCGCGTGTAGATAAATTCGCGCAGGCTAAAACCTTAATCGAGTATGTACATGTTCAATAGTCGATTAAGCTAATCGACTATGTTCTGGTAGTCGATTAAGGTTGATCGACCTCCAATTTTTTTATTTTTTTGGATTTTTTGTTTATTGATTCCAATTACATAAATCATTTATAATGTTTGTTTTTGTAATATATAGTTGATTTTTGCAGTTGTGATTTGTTATTTTTAGTAGCAGATTCTTAATCGACTATGCTTCACATCATAGCCGATTAATATGCTTCATTGACTCAATATTTTGATTTTTTTTGGATTTTTTGTTTATTGATTCCAATTGTATAAATCAATTATAATGTTTGTATATTGTTTTTGTTTGTAAAATATAGTTGAGTTTGCATTTTTGTAGTTGTGATTGGTTATTTTTAGTAGTCGGTTCCTTAATCAACTATAGTTCATCATAGTCAATTTAATATGCTTCATAGTCGCTTAATATATCTGGTAGGTAAAAAAAGTTAAAAAACGAAAAAATATAATAATAATTAAAAAAAAAAAAAAAAAAAAAAAAAAAAAAAAAAAAAGAAGAAAGACACTGTTGATGGATTGTGGGCGGATAGTGTGTAAGGTAAAGAGACATAATTGGAAAATAGGTGGCTGAAATTAAGAGTGATTTTTTTCTCAAATAGTACAAAATAGTTTTGGCATTTTCCAATTAAAAAAAATATTGAGGGGTTATATCAAAGAGCCCAAAAAATTAACAAAAAACATACGTACTTTTAGAACCACAAAAGTCTGACATTAATAACCCGACTTCAAAAATAGGACAGATTTGGCTTTAGTTTTAAAATAAATAATAAAAAGAACAAATATAAAAGAATGACTTCATTTAAAGTGAGAAATAGAAGATATCAAAACCCAAGCACAGCTTAAATTAAATGTCAATTCCAAAGCTCCTCTTCCAGTAATACTTAATCAGTTCTATACTTGTGCCCACAGTGTATCAATATTTTCATGAGCAACTCACACGGTTGGTAGCAACATAGTGCAACGAAGAATGCAAATACAGAGTGTTCTTGACGCACAGTTAACAGGTCTTTCTTGACGCACCACAAGTTCATATGTGATGATTACAAAGCGAATAACCGAAGAGATTCAAGCAACCAGTGACCTCCCTACTTAAAATGTTTAAGGGCATTTCCTTTGAATGTAAGAAGCTCCATGCTCTTCAAACCTGTCCTTACCACAAATGATGTTAAGTGCAATTATTATCATGACATTAAAACAAACCTAGTCTTGTTTAAATATCTGAATCTGATGAATACAGAACTTACTCAGACTTTGAGAACCACATTTGCTGAAAGGAACCAAGTGATGCCAATATACTCCCCCCTATCCAGACGCTGTATTTGCATTCATTATCAGTAACCAAATAAAACACGATCTTTTACTTGTATATATGTAATACTCATGCAATCATTAAAAAACTGAACTTCCTCTTGACAAGGTAGAATACAGTCAGTCCAATACATCCAATCTAAGTTAAAGGGTAAGGTCGAATGTTGTGCAATACAGAATTTCCAAGCAGTCTGAAATGCTGTTGAAAACGTGACATAATGGATTAATGTGTACAACTGTATATAATGAACGATCGAACCTAACCAAATCAATTTCAGTCTTTCTACATCAGAAAAACAAAATATATAGATAGATGCACAAAATGCATGAGCCACATTGTGGCGTATGAATGAGGGGAAGCCTTACATTGTATTGGTGTGCATACCAATTTTACCATGTAAAAACAATCAACATCTGCTTTAGTACTATTGTACATTTCATTTTCTGATAGATATCACAGTTGACAGCATCACAAATAATAAACTAGCTAACTCCTGCATCACCTTGAGGTGTTCTCTTTACAACAGCTAATCCTAATTAACTTCATATTCGTGCAGACATCCACCCATGGGTACTTAGGTGCACGATAAAATATCCCTGTGTTTTTATGTATCAATTATTAGTGTTGTATGATTGTATCCTAATCCGACAAAATAAATGTTTTCACTTGGTCCAAAAATGTATTTTCAGACAATGATTTTTTCACTTCCTACGATTGTATCTTTCAACTAAATTCGAATGCTCTAGTTCAAGATACAGTGGAAAACTATGAGCTCAAGTTTGACGAGCATATTCTTCTGGGCTCAACATTGCACTTGAAATGATATTGAGCTCGAGCTTGGCTTGTTGGCTCATCCACAACTGAGCCAAGATTGAGAGAGGCTCCTATTGATTATAATTTATAACCATGGAACTATTGTTCTGCATACACATATTTGAGAAAATATAGACTAGAACTACTACAATAGAGTGTCTCGAAGAAATGCCAAAATCATCTTATAAACCTCAGGCTCTACCTGATAGAGATGGGAAGCTTATGTAGGTACAACTGATCAATAGTACTTTAAAATTTGTAATAATAATTTTTTTTATTGTTTGCTATTAAATTTGTGATTTGCTTCATTTAAATTTATTTTTAAATACAAAAGGAATTCAAGTACAAATTGCAGGGCGTATCGACCGAAAATAAATTGCAGGTGTCGAACATTACTTATATAAGGTCTTTCTACGTACACTAGCATATCCCAGAACAAAATTCACTGGCAGTGCAAGTGCTAAATTATGCATAAACTCACGTAAATATAGCAAACACTATGCTTACATTTTCAAAGCTATGAGAAAGGAGAAGTAAGCAAACGAAACCTAACCTGAATCTCCTTTCAGTAGCATTCCCGCTTGATAACACTTTAACCCTTGCTGCTTGAGGAGTTTCCTAGAAGCAATATAAGCCAATATCAGCATTCTACTCCATCAACATTTATAGACTCATGCTGCCCAAGTGGCTGGCATCTAGCTAAAATGTGCAATAAATAGAAGTAAATTTACTCAATTACGTGTTATCGTCGCATCATTCTTTAAAAAAATTATATATAAGAATAAATTACTAAAATAACTGCTGAGCGAAATTTATGAAATCTTCTATATTCACATCATCTCTTTTCTCAATGTAGGCAAACATAGTCCGACAGCTATCAACACATTTAGAGTACGCAAGAAATATTTTCATACAAACAAGTCAAATATTGTAAGGACAACCTCCAACAAATCTTTCTCAAGACGTTCTTTCAATTGTTGCATTGATGCTGTTCCACCAGAAAGCTGCAAAATAGACAAGCAATATGGTATTAAAAACAGTATAATTTTGAGTTTGCGATAGTAGGAACTCTCATTATTTGGATGCAAGAGAAAAAAACAACTTAATCTATATTATCAAATAATGATGGATGCTCATACTTCTTCAGCACTCTCGAAACATCAATTTCCTTTGGAACAAATTTTATACAATTGAAAGGACATCAACATTAAGAAGAGAATGGAAACGATAATAAGTCAGTCAACTGCCAAAATGATTAAAGCCACTAAACATACTTAAACATGAAATGATCATGGTATTTTGATTCATTAGAAAGAAAAGCCGTCCTCAAATACAAAATGAGTAGATTGCAATCGTGATGTGTTCTATATCAAACCATGGTTACAATTGATTCAACCTCATAACAAAGTAATTTAATAACGTAACAAATGGCACAATATTTGAGAACCGATCTGCAATGATAATGTATACAGGAAAATATCCGTGTGGAGCACGAGGCTAACAGAAAGGTGGCAGCAAGACAATATAATAAGATAAGATATCATAAATTTCTACAGCAGGAAAATTCAGCCCTCATCTTCTACATAAATAGGGAGATAACTTAGACTTGTGGGAACTTGGAACGGTAAAAGGAAAAACCTGCCAACCAATTTAATAACCTAATACAAAATGGGGAATGAAATGGGTAAATCTAAAACTTTTACGAACATGTTTATTTGGTGAAAAGGAATTATCTTACCAGTATGCCACTAAAAAGTTCTCGTCGGATGTCAACATCACATTTGTTTATGCTCTCAATGACCTGGAAAAATTCAGAGTTTGGACGAATTAACATATACATAAAAACAAGAACCACAGAATCAACTTTGAACATAAAGCCAAGGGCATAGAGCGAAATTATTCACCATTTGCGGCAGACCACGAGCAGATGAAGCCGTCTCTACAGAACTCTCCATACCAGGAATAGTCTGAGATGGACATTAAATTGTAGATGTCAAGTCACCAAATCAAAGTTAGAGAGTGGTCTATGTTAAACTCCCAAGCAGCATAATGTTTAACAAAAGTCAAATCAGTAAAAATAGGGTAGAGAATATCTCATAAGCCATCAAAGATAATCTTAACTAATACGAATGCATAAAAGAATTGGCCAGAATTAATAATTGTGATAAATACATAAAAGTTCAGATATCCCTCAACTTCTGGACAAAAAAAAAATGGAATGACCAAGAAAAAACCATTAGTCAACAGGGACAAGTGTCCCAGTGATAGGACTGCAAGCATTACCACATGGTGATGGTTAAGTGACAGCCAGCCTTAACATTCAAAAGAATAATATTGTTAAAAATAATTCAGCTTCAGTTACCTGTATAACTAAAGCAACAAAAAACAATAAATGGAAATTATATACATGAAAGGCTTGGTGTTGTCTACAGTGAAATAATATAACAATACTAATAACAATAACAATGAAGTTGCGTGAAAGTATCTGATCATACGCAATGGTGCAGACCTAAATGTGGGAATAAAACAGCACAAATAAATTTCTCCATAAGTGTAGCTCATCGAACATTCAGTTAGACAAGGCGTTGTCCAATCGTACTTTGGCATGTCAATAAGTATCCCCCCCACCCAGATGAAAACCATCAATATTTGACTGCATCTGTGGATCTCCAGACTATTGCAAAAGAAATCTCAACTGGCATCATTTGGGAGTCCAGATTATTTCAAAAAAGAAACGTCAACTGGTATCATCAAATTTCTCCATGAGTACACTACAGTGCTATCTAGGTCCTCGTTGGATTTCAACTAACTCGTCATCTGTTAGACTGCTCATCTTCTAGCAATAACCTTCTTCATTGATATTTCCCTCTATGAAGGTGTATAGATGATTAGTTATCGAATATGGAACAAAACTTTCATGCACAAATACACCAAATCAGATTGCCAACTTACATTCTATTGCTGCTCCACCTTCCAGTTATCTGATTTCCTGTTTACTAGCAAAATCTTGTGCACATTGTTCATGGCTATAAACAATGCTGCCCCAGAATATTTGCTCAATCAGTTTTGGTAAAGCTGACAGTGCATTTTTTATTTTAATATTTTTGCTGTCTCGTCAGAATCTACTCCTAGGATCCACTAGGTCCATTATATGTACAGAAACTCTGTAGTTAGCTTTCCATTTGTTTCTTTTTGCTACAAGATCTCTGTGCCTAAACAGTGGTTTGTTGTAGAACCCTACCAGTTTATTAATCTTAAAGAAGTACAGGAAAGGAGACAAACCTTTCAAATGATTATTGAACATATATATGCCCAAAATTCATGTCTACTTAAGTATACAACGATATACGTACTACGATCTAATGACATTGAAGTGGCAGTTTCCCTCTCCTGTAACATCTGATAGCATGGTTATTTGTTAGAAAGATAAAACTAAGTTGTGGTTTCCAACATATGCATACTATCCAAAAAAATAACAAGATCAGGAACGGACAAAAAGTGAGAATCTCCAAACAAGCTCCCACATCTTGTACAATAGATATGTAAAGGACCAAGAGTTCCACATTGAGAAGAAATACATTGAAAACAAAATCACAAGCTCAGTAGAAGGTGGAGCAATTGCAAGGTAAACCCAGTATCATTGAGTAAATATAAGAGGCAAGTTGCACGCAAGAAAAGGATGACTAGCATTGTGGCATTATAAAATATAACTCATGGTGGATCTCAAGTATAATGTTGAGATAAACAAATAAAAAATAAAAAATCCAGACACCCACCTGAACTAAAGATGGATTAAATAGTACATCAGGAATCTTGAATCTGTCAGCACCAATCTCAATCGTCCTACAGTATTCAATTAAAATTAATAATAGAAATTAGAAAGCAAAATCCCATGCCTGACATTAGTCCAAAGAATATTGAATCATAATAAATCATCTAGATAAGCCTGTATCCAAACAATATATGAATCAATAGTTGCCCCCTTTTGAACTAGGTTCGCCTTCATTAACCAATATATCAGATTCAGGAAAGCAAACAGACATGAATCACATTAACTGGATGATATTGATGCTTTATTGAAAATGATTCTCAGAAATAATGGCCAACAAAGGAATAAAATAACTTGAAACAAACTTACTGTCCATCAGGAAGCTCATAAGGCGTCATTGGGATATTCGAGTATGAAGTATCTGACCAAAACAAACAGGTCAGCATATGTATGTCCTAAGTATGCATCAAAGGAACGGAATATTCCAAATTTCCTTGTTTAAACCATAAATTAACTCTAGGAAAAAAACATTTTGCAGTAGAATCAGGTAATGTACTTTTTCAACAAGTAAAACTAACTATGGCACCAATATATGTGGTAAGAGCACAGTAGAACCAATCCCTGCCATTTGGCCGCTTTCTCTAGAGATTCAAGCAGAAGATTTAACAAAATAATTGTATGACATAGGACAATACCACCTAGTCCTAAAAACAAAATAGCAAATCAAAAATTTCCAATATTCACCACCAGTGTATGCGTCAGGGTGGCTAAAGTCACACAAACATGGTGACAAGCAGACAGCCAAACTTACACGAGAAGCTTATCAAACATTAATAGTACTCGTGCAGGGTGTTAAAAATATTACAACATACATGGTGACAAGCATACAGCCACAATACTTACAGGAGAAGCTTATCAAACATTAATAGTACTAATGCAGAATATTAAAAATATTACAACATCTGATCCTAGTTTACAGAATCATAATCAGTTGGTCTTGCCAATTGCCGTATTTGATGTTCCAGAGATTTAAAACATCCTATTAGTGTAACTTCAAGAAGTTTCATTAGTGACTTGAATGATTTCTATACTTAAAACTACCAAAGGACCAATAATCACCATTGAAACAAACTTGAGGAACAACAAAATTTAATCTACAGCGAAATTGATCGAGGCTAGTGGCGAAGAATAAAAAACCTTCATATCCACTTCAAATGACCCACAATGAATTAATTATAGGGCGAGTACGAATCTGTAACTGCTGGGAATATATTTCATCTTTTTGTTGTAATAGAAATATTTAACAACCCAAAACAAGAACACGTTAACATCAAAATCATGGAAGAGAACCCAGTTAATCAGGAGATAAACATTTATTTATGTAAAAGGAGCACAAACCATCATACGGGGTGTCCGGTGCTCGACATACACATTCTTTAATATCACCAACAATCACCCGCTGCGACAAAGAATAAAAGTTAGTAATTGAATTAGGGCCAACAGGTAATGAGCTCAATCAATTAGTGACCTGGGAATAGAGTTTGTAACTTTCCGTCGTATTTGGGAAGTCAAGGTCTACAATCTGTCCAAAATGAAAGTAGTAAGAATTTTGGGGAAAACAAGTGAACAGAGATCAAGTAGAACAAATGTTCATTTGCTCATAAAAGACCAGAAAATCCCATCAGGAAGAATTAGACATTTGCTTTTACAAATGAAACATTAAGTTTAAATTGATTTACTATATTCTACATGAAAAGGGATTAACTTTTACTTTTGGTATGCAGTCAAGAGATGATGGTATTGTTAGCAGCTGAAATGAGTTCTTATATATCGTGAACTGTTTATAGGTCACCCAAAACTTACTACTCAAAATGAAACATAGTGTTAGCACAAACAATACTTTTTCACGAATTCTTCAGCCTTTGCAAGTTGTATAAATGTATCAAAAGCATACACTATTACCAATAGAAACAGATTTGCTACCCATGTGACATGCCACATTCATTACTAGAAACAGTGAATGACCATTTATATTCTACATCAGGAAGGACAGATGACCTGAAATTCTCCAGCACGAATTTCTTTCCGTTTAAAGGCATAACGAGGTTTTATCTGCATATTAAATATAAAGAAAGGAGGCAAAATCAAATCAAATCAAATAAACTTCAAATAAATGGATATTATAAGATTAAATGTTATTTAATTGAAAATTTGCGAAATAAATCAATAACTCACAGAGATTCCCTTGTCTTCCAGGCTTTTTAACAAGCAATCAGTGAGAAAATCTCCTCCAATCGGAGACGTTGCAACAGCCTAAAGCAAACAAGGAGATTATAAATGATAGTAATACTATCGTAAATGAAAAAGGGAAACGCAATATCTAATACTGTCATGATCATAAGATGATGGAAATGCAGTGAGCAGGGTCATGAAGTGGATTGATCAGCATTAATTACCATCAGGATTTGTCTTAGTTCTAAAATGGATATATGCTATGTGGCAATAAGATGCTAATATTACAGGAAATGACACAAAAAGTACATATTAGAACATGACAGACCCAAAAGATAAAGGTTAGTCTCCTTAAACTTTGAAGTGCTACAGTTACCATAACTAACAGCTTGTTTGAGACCCAAGAGGGAAACCAAGTTTGAATATTTGATAAGATTATGATTATCAAAAAAACGGACCCAGCATGATTGTTTTCTAGTTCTGTGAGATATCCCCGATTGATAAAGTTAAACGTGTTCTAATCTCTCATATGTGTATAGTTGGTTATTGTAGTTTAAAGTAAAGAGACCGACTGCTTATCAAAAAAAAATGTAAAGAGACTAATATATCTTGCCCTTCAGGCATTCGTGTGAACTGGATGTAGCCTGAGTAGTTCGAACCAAGTATCTTATCTTCTACTCACTCTTCACTACAAATAAATTTTAAAGTTACCACAAACCTTACAAAATTATCTCCTTTATTCAACCACAATCCATTTCATGACAAAAAAAAAATGAAAAGAAGAGCATTTGTTTCTCTTTGATGAGTGTCTAATATTTTCGGAGACAGTGACTTGATGAAAAAACTATCTTCAAAAGAGCTTATAAGCTATTTATAAAGTTCCTTACTTAATTAGAACATTAAATTCTCAAATGTTTGAGTAAATCAAGATCTTAAAGCACGTCAGTGGTCAATCTGAAGGTCCTTACTTGATCTTGTAAAATAAGGAGAATGGTGTCAATCTAGAGAATGGTGTCCTTTATCAGATCCTAATATCTTCTGTTTTTGTTTTTCTTTCTTTGTATTCAGGGGGGAGCGTAGCACATAACCTACGCTATTCAATTTTTGGTGGACAATAAAAAATTTCTTTGTGCATCACCTAAAAATTAGCTTACTAACGATCCTTTCAATATAGTAGCCCAGATAAAGGATCCTACCATGTATACGTCAATTATTTCAACTTTTATACAAAAGCTATGTGTACATTTCATGGAGAATGGTGTCCTTTATCATACGATGTAAACGTTTATTTCTGGTCTTTGTATTTGCTTAGACCAAGAGAGAGGTGTAAGATAAATTTACATTTTCTAACAATGGATCAGCAAATGATAAACCACTGTAAAGAGTCTAAAAGGGGATCTTCCGCATAGAAAAAAGTGTGTGCAGCTTAAGGAAAGGAAAAATATGTAACAATGAACCCAAAATATGTTCACACACCAATTTCAAAAACAGATGACGAGTACCTTCTGAAGAACATATCCATCATGGACTGGAGCCACAGTAGTAGATCCTCCGCCACTGAATCAAGCAACAAAACTAAAGAATTAGCCGGTTTGAGTGCATTACTCTCATCTAATGCTTCTTTACTCTAAAGGGTCAATGTTGGATCGTATTGGTGATAGTAGGAATAGTTCTGTTAATTAGCATATAAACTCCTACCAGTCAACAACTAAAGAGGTGGCACGTCCTGATGCAAAAGATGTGAGAACCTGGAATAAGTAAAAAGCCAATGATCACCAAAACTGAAATATTCTCAAATGCAGAATAAAGTGGATCACCGGGGTCCAGTTCACATCAATTGTTCGATAACTAGGAGTAGCAAGACTCACAGCATTTTTGGCCAAAAATAATGCGGGAACTTGGTATTTTTCAAACATAATCTCTGCAGTCCTGTTAGACATGTAAAATAAATCAGTAATCAGCTCAGCTTGAAACCGACAATAAACCTGCTATTGTGTAAAACAATGACAGAATATGATTAAAAATGAAGAAGTTGCAATTTTAATACAAACAATATTACTTTTGAAATCTCTGGCATTTTTATTTGATGATTTGCTTGTGAGCTAAACCTGCTAGGGCCTAGGAGTATATTTTTGACGTAAGGTGATTCGGGAAAATAAAAATGAAACGAAAAAGGAGGGGCACAAGCAACAAAAAGAAGACAGTGAAATGGACAATGAATTACTACATACAGAAAAAACTCGCTTCTCCATTTTGCCACAATAAACCTCAAATACCTACAACCGCGTGCAGATTTTCCAAACATCAGAAATTTCAAGTTTCTCTAGCTACTAGGAACATTATATGTGGTTCAGTTTACCTACTGTGGTAGCTAGGTCTGACAGAATATTGCAACATTAGCACGTTTACCAGTTGTTATCTGGGCTATGACTGACGAACCTACTTTGAAAATCAGTCAATCTGGTCATTCTTTAGGGTTTTCATACTCAACATTTCCCCACCTGAGATTTTCCATTCAAAACCTGTCGTTTCCCTTTCCAGTGTGTAAAACAAAATGAAAGTGGAGTTTTTTTCTCTCAGATGTCCTCTCATCTTCTATGTAGTTGTATAGGTCATTAGCAATAAGAGTAAAACCAGTAAATAATGCAGCAATGATGATCAACAACCATACATTTCTGCTTTCCTACTTTTTTTCTGTTGTACTTTCTTTTTTTTTTGCATGTGCAGGAGGAAGGAGGGAGGAGGTTTCAGACCCTCACCTTATCTTGTTTGGGGAAGGGGAGGGGGGTCAGACTCTCACCTTCTCTTGTGAACCATTTAGCAGACAGTTACTTTTTATCAACGCATCACCCACAAAATTGCTTCAGGAGTAACTATCTATGCAAAAATAGAATTTAATGTGATCTTGAAGTTCTAACATTGCTAAAAATATGTAGATGATCTTCTATTTCAATTTGTGCAAGTATGAAAGCTATCAGCAGGATTGACCAGACTGGTCATCTGCCATTCTGCCATTAGTGTTAGAATGAAGGTTTGCTAGAATACAAATGATTACATCTCCAAATCCTTCACATCATTCAAAAATTAACACTAGCGTAGGTTCCAAATAGTACGACGTCTAGAGAAGGGATAAATAGACCAATTGGAAATCTTTCCAAAGTTCTACCTTTCAAAACTTCACACTGCTTAAGTACTCAACTGGTCGGAGAAAAAACTGACTTTGGGGTACTCAAGCTTACAAAACCTTCAGCCAAGAAAACTTAGCTGGTAAAGCTTTAAGTGAATACACACTTTGTGTTAACGATTAGAAAATGAATACTAGTCTTGCCCATGACAATGCTATTCTGTATCGTCCTGCCAGAATTCACTTCGAAGTCTTTATTGTCATATTTTAAAATGACCAGCAAAGAATCAATATCTACACGCCTTTTTCAAGGAAGATTCATATCATTGTAGCACCTTAGCAATCTTTGCTCTGTTCATCAGCCAATATTTAATTAACCATCGAGCAAAGTAGATGTTTGTGTTTCAAGAAACTAATCTTAACATTGATTTACTACCACGCACCCTTATTCCTAGAGCTGTTTTCTTAATTTCCCTATCAAGCAAACAAAAAACATACTATACCAGTTACAATTCAGGTAATACTGGATAAAATCGAAAAAAAAATCCGTGGAAAATAAAAATTAACCTACACCATACAATTACGCTCTGGTTGATTTATAAAAAACCTTCTAATCACATAGGGGCTGTGATATAAATGCCTGCATCAGTAAAGTGTCTGAGACAGTCAACTCACTTTTCTCTCTGCTGTTGAGTATTAGAACATGGCTCAGCAAGGAGCATCGGATGTTCCTTTGGGTCAATCAAGAGGCATTTCCTGCCAATTAGAAGTATGTAAATAGCGAAATCATATTTACCGCATTGGAAATGAGGAAAAATATGTTGAACAAAGAAAAATCAATAAAAAGGAACAAAACTGTGGACTTGAAGAAATAGACATTTCCTCCAATGTTTATTTAAAAGTTCAAGGACTGTGGAAAGGACTAAAGCATCAGTTACCTCAACGCATGGTCCCATATATTTTCAACCATATCCCAGTCAGCAACTATCCCATCCTTGACAGGTGATAATACCTAAAAATAATAATTTTACAAATTCCGACTATATTATAATGAAGGAAATATTTTTTTTCCGAAAAATACATGGAAAACACTAACCTCCATGTGATCCCTACGAAATCCCAAGTCTTGTGTTCCTACATACAACTTGCGCTTGCTCTTGGATTTAGAATCCGAGGCAGTGCCAGAGTTTTTGTCTGAATTATCAGCGTCATCAACTTCCATTTCGTCAATTGAGCCAAGAACCTAAATACAGACATTTTGTAATTGAGAGAGAGAGAGAGAAAGAGGAGTGAGTGCAATTATAAATTAATGATTATTAAATAATCAAGCCATAATATTAATCTAAAAATATGCTCATCTAATCACAAGTGCAAACCCTCAAGATAATAATAATAATGAAAAAATTGAAACATCTGACTAATTGAACAACTGCTTGCAGAATTCCAAATCCAGGTAAGCTTACAACTTGTTACAAACATTTATACTTTATGTTCATTTATGCCCCTCCGACGCACTCGTGTTGCTTCAACTTCCACATTTAAACCTAACTAGAGCTAGACACATGATCTCGAATCTACAAGAAACCCTAATCATTTGGGCAATTAGGCGTAATTGTTAAACACGAAATCATGCAGAAGTGCAAAAAATTGCTAACTCAGAACCCAAAAAAAAAAAAAAAAAAGAGCTTCATAATTTCACAGTAAGAACTAACTAAAGTCGCAACCATAACCAAAAAACTAAAAAGGAAAGAACAGAAAAATCAGGAGTTGCTTTCAGAAAGAAATAGAAACAGAGAGAGGGGGTAAAATTGGCTCACAGATGGAAAAACAGCTTTAGGGGCATCTTCACCGGCATAACCAGCTTTGCAAGTGTGGGAACCTAAGTCCACCACTATCGCAGATACTTCATCTGTTGAGAGTAAATTATATGAATATACAAAACTAGAGTATAAATAATTTTGGGGAAAATGTGAGAGTAATCGGCTGTACTCACCTCCCCCGTACATTTCTGGAATGCCCCTTCTTCTTCAACCTCGTTGGTGGTGGTGGTGGCGGTGTGGGAGCGGGGAAATTCGAAATTGATAGCGGGGTTTACTCAAGGGAGTGTATGTTAAGGGCGACCCAGGAAATACAAATTGAGGCGACTAAACCCGGCTATTCGATTTCATTTGGGGATCACTATTTCAAATACTAACTTTTGCTTACTTGAATACCAAAAAAATTAAAAATAAATAATTAATTGTAAATTACTTTAATGCCCTTAATGAAAATTAAAACCAAAAAAATATTACAAATACTATTTTTCTTTCTTAAATATCAAATAATCAAAAACTTAAAAAAAACATTTCTCTCCTCACTCACAAACCCCTCATCTCCTCCACCTCCTTCTTCTCCCTCCCCAAAAACCCACCTAAAAAACCTCAAAACTAAAGAAATCAAAACCTTACACAACTTGCAAAATGGCGTCAAATGACAATAGAATGGTAGTTTACGAGCAAGGAGAACCCATTCAAGTATGAATTCATGTATTTTTTGAGCTAAAACATCGATTTTGAATAATTTTTTTTTTAAAACTCGCCATGTATTTTCGACACATACAGGTCGAAAATACCCTTATTTTTCGACATGTATCTGTCGAAAACATAACAATTCATATTTTATTAAGTTTCGACACCTAAGTGTCGAATTTTGATACAATTTTCGACACCTAAGTGTCGAAAATTAAAAAAAAAAAAAATACACAGATCTAATTCGACAGGTAGCTGTCGAAAATTGGTTGAATATTCGACAGCTAGCTGTCGAAAACTCATCCAAATTTCGACAGCTATCTGTCGAATTATCAAAAATCCCATTTCAAGCTTTCACATTTTTCGACAACTACATGTCGATTTTTGATGAATTTTCGACATCAAGTCGTCGAAAATTCATCAAAAATCGACATATACAGGTCGAAAATTGTGAACGAAGAACCAACCCACGAATCTCAAATCAATGCTCAAATCGACTGAAATTAGATGCACCCATTACTAATTAACGATCATTTCTACCTAAAACAATCAAATCCTAATTACCCATATCCGACAATCAAATCCTAAGTAAATATTAAAGAAAAAAAATTCGAAAAAAATTATTACTTGGATGAATGAAACCGGAACGAAGAAGCGGCGGCGGGTTGATAACAATGGACGAAGAAGCGGCGGCGGCGGCGGCGGCGTCGGCGGCGGCGGCGGCGGCGAGGGTTGGAGAGGGTTGGAGGTTTTTTTTTACAACAAAGGGATTTTTTCTTTTTTTTTTTATTTGGTTTTTGATTAGGTAATTTCTAATAAAATGTGATATAATTGATATTTTGTATGAAAGGGTGTTTTTGTAATTTTCTTTTTATTTTGGTATTAAAGTAAGAAAAACTGATAAATATGTACTCAATTTTGGTTTTAAACTTGGTAGTATTCAAGTAAGCAAAAGTTAGTATTTGAAATAGTTGTCTTCTTTCATTTTTCCCTTTTCTAGTTTCTAACTTTTTTGTAATACCTCTTCTACCCTTGTTACTAAGTTATGTATGTATTTTTTGTGGTTGTTTAGGTAAAATATTATTTATATTGCAATATTCAACATCCAATTAATATATTGGCATCTGATTGTTCTCACTCTTTGTTTTTTTTTTTTCTTTTTTCTTCTTTTATTTAACACATAGATAAAATATAAAAGGTTGGGAACTTTATATTTCATTTATTGGAGAAATCAAATTCGACTAGGATCTATGAATCATTAGACACTGATTTTTTTAGTAGTCCGTAAAATATTTTTAGTGGCTTGATTTAGTTTCATGATTTACATTTCAACCGTCTTGATAATTTTTTATTTATTATTGTTTTAGTTTATATAAATTTATAGATTTTCTTTTATCGAAATGTATAAATTTAATAAACATCTTCAATAATAAAGCAATTATATGAAACTTTTTAACCCAAAAAATAAAACTTCTTTTGATTTCATATGTCTTCTTAAAATTTTTTTATGAAAAAAAGTATGATAAGGATGATACTTTCTTTATGATACATTAGTGACAAAACTTATTGAAATGATGTTATAAAAATAAAAGTAAAAACTGAAAATTTTGGTAGTGATATGTCTATTATGAATATTTAGCTTATATGTTGTATTATTTGCGGTTTATTGCATTTACCACATGTGTGTTTACTCTAACTGCATTTAGCATATATACTATATTCTTTGGGGTTTATTGCATTTACCATCCATGTGTTTACTCTGATTATTAATAGAATTCCCGTGTTATAAATAGTATCAAAAAATCTCTGTAATTCAATTTCGTAAGCAATCCACCACTTAACTATTCAGGCGAGTGTATGCTAAAAACGCATAAGAAGGATTTGGATTTCTTATATTTATGACACGAGAAGCTTTTACCAATTCGACATAACAGTTGGTTAATAAATTGAATATAAAGTCTTCAACATTGCTTTGTTAGCTGGGAGGCCTTGCTGATGTTGATTGATTATTTAAAAATTAAAACTATTAGATCTCATTTGCTAAGTGTGCTCCCAAGATGAGAGTTCACTTTCTAAGTAAATTTAATCCTTAAGTGAGCTCAGTGGCAAAACCATGATTTTATCACTTTGGGGTCGAATATGCATTAAAAATTAATGTAACAAAATTAATGACAACAATAATTGTTCCGACATGAGTCTAGGGTATTATTATACGATGGACATAAATTTTCGGTGTTTGGGGTGCAACGCTCCTGAAAACAATTTTAGGATTTCTTGAAAACAATTTAGGATTTCTTATTTTTTTTTTATAATACCAGAAGCTACGGAAAGAAAAACTTAGAATTTTTGTTTTCACATTGACTTGGATTTTTCATGGACTAAATAAAATAAATTAAGTGAACTTAATAAATAAGCAGCGGCTAAAATAAATACAATTTTTTCCTCAATTCAATACCACCAACATAAAAAATAAAAAATAAATAGATAATCATTAATTACGTACATACATACTTGCATATAATCATTAATTACGTACCTCAATCTCTCCCGCACAAATAAGTATACATATGAATTTCAATTCGAAATTAGATAACAATATGTATTTAAATTATATGAACATGCTTCATGAATTCACGCATTAAATTAATTAAACGAACAAGCATGCCATGGAATTCGAAATCAATTATCATACAAAATCGATTTCAAATCAAATACTAAATAACATACAAATAATCATATAATCACATTTATGATTAAATTTAGGGTTAATAAGATATAACCCCCTCATTAGAAAAAATATTAAGACTAACCACCTTACAATATTTTTAATGGGTCAAACCCCCTTAGAAATGTCAATTACTGAACTACCCCTATAATTTGTAATAGCAAAGACCCCCCCACCGTTTTCCCCAAAAACTGCATATCTTCAACCATTTTCTTCAATATAATTTCTCTCTCATTTCCGTTGGTCTGCTATATTTATGCCGAGAAAATCGCCCAAAAAACAAACTGCAATATATATCGGATCTTTTCCCCTTTCGAACATTGCCCTAGTTTGCTACGTATCTTCAGAGAAAAAAAAACCCAGAATACCATTATTGTGCAATTCGTTCAGCAACACAGGTTGACAAACAATGGTGAAGAACGGCAAGAAGAAGATAGGTAGTTTCCTATACACCCATCTCTATCACCGACTTCTATTAACCTAATTTTGTGCATTTACCCCATAATTTCTCTTTCTGACACCATTATCAGCGACTCCGGACTACAAATCGAAGACTCCTACAAAACCGTACGCAACAGTACGCGACGACCATAAGCGACGGTTCGGAATTCTTCCATGATTGATTATTCAAAAATGGAGTTTGTAAACAAGCTTGTTTTTTAGATCTACAGATCTATGGTCGCACTATTTGTCGACTCATAAATATTTGTTTCGTATGAAATTTGTTTTATCAGAGTCCACAACAAAGAAGAGATCATTGTTGTCGAAAAACTTAAAAAATTACGGTCATATACACTCGGAGTCAACTATAAAATCGGATAGTTCACTATATTTTTTTCCAGAGTCAACTATAAAAAATAGATAGTTAACTATAATTTTTACGATGTCAACTATAAAAAAATGGTAGTTAACTATATTGTTGCCAGAGTCAACTATAAAATCGGATAGTTCACTATATTTTTTCCAAAGTCAACTATAAAAATTAAATAGTTAACTATAATTTTTACGATGTCAACTATAAAAAATTGGTAGTTAACTATATTGTTGCCAGAGTCAACTACAAAAATTGGATAGTCAACTACAATTGTTCCGATGTCAACTATAAAAAATTGGTAGTCAACTATAGTTTTTCATTAATTCACTATATTATATTTCAATTTAAGATACTATGGTGTTATAAAATGAGATGAGATGTAGAAGAAAAGATAAAGTATTGAGAAGATATAGAGAAACTAAAGAGAAAAAATGAACAGACGAGAACAGGAGAACATAGGAAATGAGGGAAGAGAAAGGAGAGAGAGAGAAGAGAGAGAGAGGAGAGAGAAGAGAGGAAATTGTGGAAGAGGGAGAATAGAGAGAAGAGAGGAGAGAGGAGAGAGAAGAGAGGAAATTGTGGAAGAGAGAGAAGAGAGAGAATAGAGGAGAGAGGAGAGAGAAGAGAGGAAATTGTGGAAGAGAGAGAAGAGAGGAGAGAGGAGAGAGAAGAAAAATAATAAATGAACAACACGTCAAAAAAGACGGTTGAGAAGAGAGGGGGGAGAGAGAGAAAGAGTGGGGGAAGAAAGGACAAAATTGGAATAATACACACATGAGGGGGTTCTCACAATTCCTAATGTTAATTTTAGATTTCTTTACAAATGGTAAATATTAAAATGGGCCTGGACTCTATTATTTTGTGTAATGAGGGGGTTATCCCTCATTTTCCCTTAAATTTATGGGATTTCGAATCTTACATTCGAAACGTGAGACTTTGGGAGGGAGTCTTAACTGAAACTGTTTTTCGCGTGAAATTTTCAGACCTGTTCCGACTCCGATATGTCCCTGAGTTGGGAAGATGCCGTCAAATTTCACGCCCATATCTGACATTCGTGTGATATATGGTGAATCGTTTCGTGGGACTGCGAAGAAAAATCTGAGGGCAGATTTTGGATT